GACCTTATACTAAGGAATAGGAAATCCGAGAGTTATTGTTTTCATTGTCTCACCTTGCAAATGATGTCTTTTAGAGTTCCTATTGCAAAAGCTTGATCAGCTGTTCTGATTCACACCTTTGCTCAATAAAGCTTCTTCTATCTTGAAAACTTCAGCTGGACATTCACTTGACACAGCACACACCGGAGAGTGAAACAAAAGATACTTTGTAGCTCAGGATAATCAAAGACAAACAAAAACATCTTTGCCAAGGAAATGCAGCAAAGACAAAGGAAAACAAGACAGTTTGATTTTTTTCTTTTTTTCTCAGCTGAAGTAGAGAGAGGAATAGAACTGTTGGGTGCATATTTCAATCACAATTACAAAACATTTTTAATTATCATTTAATTTAGTTTTCATATTTGCCTGCCGAAGTGATCGTGTTGATAAGATTTTGGAAAGAGATAAACTTTATTAAGCAAATCTGATCTCAGTGCCAGAGGGTTTTTTTTTTTTTTTCATAAAAATGCTTGTGTTATGTATGAGTGAAAGGGGAGAGGACCTGAGGAGTTAGTTGCATGAGTGCATTGTGGGTATCCATACTTGGGTATTTACTACTTAGCCGTGGGCATTTGAGTTTGGGGTTGTTCTGAGGTTTCTCAGCAGGAAAAGACTGTAGTGAACCCTGATTGATAGCGTGTCTTTACACCATTTCTCTACCTTCAGATTCCCTTCTAGTACATACGTACATGGTCAGGATGACCTTCATTCTGTTCAGTGTAGAAGGGAAGGTATTTGTGGAAGAGAATGCTGTTAGGGGCTGAAACATGAGAGCCTAGGGAAGTGGTTTATAGTTTATCAAAGGAAATGAAATGGTGTGCCCTTTACTGCTGCTGCTCCGTGTGTGTGTGTGTGTGTGTGTGTGTGTGTGTGTGTGTGTGTTGTTGGGAGATGTACCTGGAAGTGCAGAGAGAAAGAGAAATGTAGAGAGAGTGGACCACACAGCTGTAGAGAGGAGAGATTTTTGTGTAGAAAAGATGTCTGTGAAGGAAAAGTGTATGACTGTGGAGAATGACACTATCTGGTGAGAGACATGACTGTGTAAAGGAGAAGAATTGCGAAGGTATGTAGCTGTAGGGAGACTGTGGGGAGAATGTAACTCTGTGAAAAAATGTGAGTCTAGAGAGATGTGGCTGTGTAGGGCAGATGTAGCTGGGTAGAGATATATATCTGTGTGAAAAGAGATGTAACTGTGTGTAGAGATATTTAGCTATGCAGAAGAGAGATATATTTATGTAAACAGAGATATGTAGCTGTATGTAAGGAGTTGTAACTGTGTAGAGACGTTGTCAAGAAGGAGAAATCATACAAGATGAAGTCAAAAGGAAAAAAGCATGGGTTTCCTTATTTACCCCGCATATAGAAAAATCTTGCCTTGGACACATTCATGGATTTTTTTTTTTTTGCATACCTGGAGGCAGCCTTGGTGCAGGCTCTTTAAAAGGCTGCAGAGATAGAGAAGAAAAATTTTCTAAGTTCCTCACTGGTCTGAGAAGACATTCTTTTCTCTACTCTGGGTACAGTCCTGGAACCTGGCATCCCAGGCTGCAACAGGGGACCAGTGAGCAGCCCAAGCAATTCACAACTTGGGGACCAGTGTGGGAGACAGCAATGCATTCAAGTGGAAGGGAAGAAAAGCAGGCCCTCCGTCTCCAGCTCTCACTGTTTGAGGTCAGCATTCAAATAGCTTCATCTCTCCTCCCCAAAATTCCATCTATGGTCAAAGAATAGCATTGAAGGTGTGATTCTGTGATTGGTCCTCATGCCATTCTTTCCTACTGGGAGAAGATACACATGGAATATCTGGGACTTAAGTACGTCTCTGCTCATGAAATGAGACTTCACTCCTGAAGTACCTAATGAAGAATGGGATCATTACCACTCAGAGGACTGGAAGCCATGTCCTTCATGGTGCCTAAAATGGATGCAGGCAGCTGAGCCCAGCTCTGGAGCAAGAGCTGAGATCACGCATCAGGAGCTATCACAATGAGACAGAGAGCCATGTAAGAGAGACTGGAGAAGACCTGTGAAACCTCAAACTTACTCCACACTTACACTCCTGGAGCAAGCCCCTGCCTCCTAATCCTTCCCAGACAATTCCACCATCGGAGATATAGGCTTCCCATATACTTCTGTTAAGGGAGCACCATTCATTCAAGATGACAGGAGTGGTAATTTTGAATAGGCTGCTAAGATCAGTCTATACATGGTGGAAAAAAGATGTATGTGTTTCTCAAAATCAGGGCAACTTGACACAGAGGAGCAGTGAAGATCCATGACTCTTGTAGTTGGGTGTTTGTACTAATGTCACATTTATTCAATGAGGGAAGATCTCCAGTTGGCAATACCACGGCAAAAGTCATAGAGTTTCATAGGTACAAGATGAGAGTGTGTCAAGTGCAGAGAAACATTTGGGAACGTGTCCCTTTCAGATACGTGAAACAAGGGGTGGGACAGCATATCTGTTAGACAAAAGCAGCAGCAGTTGTGAGGGACAGACTCTTTGCAATGGCCATTCTGGGCATGGGAACAGTTGATGTTCATGAAGAGTATTTGATGCTTTAGGAGAGAAGAGAGGGTGAGGATGCTCAAGAGTATGAAGCACTACAAAAGGGCATGCTGACCACGAACAGGTGTCCCTAAGGCAGCTGTTCCTCCAGCAGGTGTTCTAGCATCAGTTGCAGCCACAGCAGCAGGGTTGGCAGCAGCAGGGGCGGCAGCAGGTGGTTTAAATGATTATAAACCTTGAATAAATACATTTGTATTGTAAGCGGTTTTCAAAAACATTTCACATGTTAACATTTAAAATTGACTCATCTCATCGCTGGTTCTTTGATAGAAATTACCTACAAAATCAAACTTACTACTAATTCAAAACAGAGTACTACCCCTATTCTTAGACATTTTGGTTCCTGGAATTTAGTCCTCCATCCCATCAGCCTTCTGCATAACACAGTAGCAGTCTAGAAAGCTATTGGCATATCTACTCTATATTTAATATGTCAAAAAGCTATGAGAATGGTATTATCATGACACAGAGGTTCTGCTGCCCCCCGATGGTGGATTTTGTTGAGTATAAGCATGGATGCCTTATCTTGTACAAAGAAAGATGTCTTCATTCTGGAGTCTGTGTAGCATAAGTGACTCAGGAACTTTTCATGTCATTGGTAGAATTTGGGTTCTCAAATTGCAATCTTTAATACTATGGTCACAAGCTGTATTTAGCTACTTCAGACCAGATCTGTTAATTAAATATATATATAAAAAATCAGATGCTGAATTTTGCAGTAGCTACATTTTAAGTTTCAGTAGTCATTTTATTGTAGAGCAAGCCTATACAAATGTTTCCCTCATCACAGAAAGTGTCACTGACAGTGTTGTGATAGGGTTTTCCTTCAGAATTTTAGCCCTTCTTTCTTTCTGGGTGGCTGTTGTGGTCAGTATAGTTAAGTGACAAATCTCATGGGTCCCTCTATACAGGGCATGTTGGAATCTGCAGGGGCCTTAGGCCAGGGGGCTTTGGAGTTTGCAAAATGACTGCTTAAGTCATACTTAGTCCTTTGAGGTCAGTATTTAATAACTCTGCTTTTATATTATAAATCTGTTACTATCCTATGTTGATTCTTGGTACTTATGATGGGTTTAATTGGAATTTTTGGTATCATATACATCTTATAATAATTATATCACTGAAACCTAACTATGGCCTTTTAGTAGAGTAAATGAACTGTCCTAGATAAGATGCAAGTTATAGATGATAGACATCTGAAATTACTGGACTATTGACAGACTAGTTATTCCTGAAGATGTTTCCATTAAGATTCACAACCCTATATTTTGGAGTTTGAGAAATTTGAGGTGAAATATTTAGCTCCCTCTTCTGGCATAGTTTTGAAAAATACTTTTACTTCATTTTTTTTCCCCTTTTTTGGGTGAGAAATATGGTTATCAATATAATCAGAGGAAGTAATTTGTGAATGTCATTGTACTAGATGTTTTTGTGTCATTACAATTGGTAAAATGTACTCATATGAAGACACAGTTTATCAAAGTATCGTATTCCTTGGGGCTGGAAAGATAGTTTCGTGGTAACTCACAAACATTTGTGACTCCAGTTCTAGGGAATCTGGTATGGCTTTCTTTCGTCTACAGGTGCCAGGCACACAAGTGGTACATACACATATATACATACATGCCAGCAAAACACGTGTACATAATATGAAATAAACATAAAAAACTTTCTTAAGCATCTCATCCCCACCCCCACCCCGCAAGCAAAAGTTTTGACAACAATTACACAGGGTCTTAATTTGTTGTTATGTGGCCAGTGGTCATTTGTGCGGCCTTGAAATGATGCCTAGGGATGGCTAGAACTCAGTGCAAGGGTACATACAAATGTCCAACTACTAGGAGTTCATGCTATCTCACAAGATTTTAATCTAGTCTCACCTACCTGAGCAACAGTTCTTTCATAATAACCTAGAAACCAGACTTGATTTCAGATTTTCTGAGCTCCCCAGATTGCACCCGAAGTTATCAGTGTGCCCAGGACATGGAGAGAAGAGAGCTGTACCCTGAAGTATCTCTCCATTCTCCCTGCACATCCAAGCTCCATTCTAGCCTGGAGCCCCTCAACCTAGATTCATCCTGGACTCTGAGGTGCCCTGAGGCAGGGCAGTCTGTCCTAGGAATGATGCCCCAGAGGAGAGACCTTCAAAGGACTGTTGTCAGGGCATTCTGGGATTCTTGGTGGGCATTTGGAGAGTGTTCTGGAGAAAAACAACTGGTATGTCCCTGAGGCCCCAACAGTGTGTAGTGTGGTATAGGAATCTTGTTAACTCCATTTTGAGTTTGCTATGGATGGGAGTAATTGAATTACTTGTATTTAAATATTCTTCATTGCGGTGGAATGCAGTTGACTGCCTCACATGAAATCTGATGTGGGATTTCTTTTTTTTCAGCTTTGACCCTTCCCGATCTGGCTGAGCAGTTCGCCCCTCCTGATGTTGCCCCACCTCTCCTTATCAAGCTAGTGGACGCCATTGAGAAGAAAGGTAACAGACTGCTAGAGGGAATTAGTGTTTTACACCTTTATTACATGGCTGTTGTATGTATCTCTGGGCCATTCATTATGTGAATGTCTTCCTAACTGCTGTCAACAGAGCCCGTGTTAACCACTAGCTGCGTGAGTCCCTGTACCAGGGAAGGAATCCTGGCTGATAAATTCTAACTCTAGACCAGTGGTTCCCAACCTTCCTATTGCTGGGACTCTCGAATACATTTCCTCATGTTGTCCTGACCCCCAACCATAAAATTATTTCATTGTTACTTCGTAACTGTAATTTTGCTACTGGTATGAATTATAAGTAAATATCTGTGTTTTCTGATGGTCTTAGGCAACCCTTGTGAGAGGGTCATTCATTCCCCAAAGGGGTCACAACCTACAGGTTGAGAACCACTGCTCTATACTAACATGTAATTACTATGTAGGAGCTATTTAATTCTTCATAATTTAATAGGATGATTAACCTACTTTTTAATGGCCCACTGGGTTTGCCAAAAATTATTGACATACCAGATAAAATTAATTGTTGGGGTTGGCTTCCAAGAATATTTAGTACACATCTAGACTAGATACCGGATGGGAATTGGAATGTCCTCTGGCAGCAGGCTCACTGGTTCCTCCAGAGAGCTGTGTTTTGCATACACAGTCTGTTTTGTGTCCTAGGACTGGAATGTTCGACTCTATACAGAACACAGAGCTCCAGCAACCCTGCAGAATTACGACAGCTTCTTGATTGTGGTGAGTGTCATGGAACTGTAAGGGAGGATAAAGCTCACCTGTCTGTTTCTGATGGCCCACCTCCACCCCATCCACACAACACTGTAACTCTCAAAGGAGTCCTCAAACCATGTAGGATTTCCTTTACCCGAATAAGTTAGGGCACGCCTTAGCAGTGTCAAGGTGTGAGTATAAGCTCTCAGCCCTTCTCACACATATGAACCTCTGGCTTCTGCAGGAATTTCAGAAACAAGTTCTAGGCATTCATCAGACCCTTTATCTCTGTCATGTTCCTTAGTCTTGCGGTTGGTCACATCTCATTCATTTGTGTCAGCTGAAATGATTCTAAGTTTGTGTCACTTGACCAATGTCTGCTGCTGTCCTCTTACCCATCCTCTGTCTCTCTTTCGCGCCCACCTGGTTTGCTGGCTTTCTTCACCTGCCTTCTTTTTCGTGTGGTATGCCCATCAAGTAACATCGTGACATTGGGTGTTTATTCGGTAATGGTAACTGAACTCTCTACAGAGGAAAATTACCAGGTTAGAGTCGTAGCCTCTTCTGTGAGGTAAATGTCCCCACTGTGGTTGACTTCATTCTAACATGATGTCATTGAATGTGGAGTTGGGAAAAACTGAGAACATTTGATTGAACAGCACCAGCCAGCTTCAGCACACTATTACTTAGGAAGAGACACTAACTTATTCTGCCAAATGGTGGCTTTATATGTCTTCCTCTTTCCTTTTCCATACAGGGAAAAGTAGTAAACTCATTCCAGAAAGCTGTCTTCTCATGCCACCTTGTAGAATTTCTCAAATCCTTTATTCATTTATAGTATTCTCTTTTTGTTTTTGTCATTTTCTACCTCCTATTGTTTACCTGAATTTGAATATTTAAATGAAAGAGTTGCATATGTTGTTCTTTTTCTGGACAAGGCTCCTTCAGAAGCATGTCAGATGGGAATGCCCATCTGACCCTTACAAAATAACTCTTTGAAGTAGGAAGTAGCTTCAGGCTTAGGGAATTTCTACAATAGATGTTTCTTAGAGAAAAGAGTGAGACTAGATGTTTATCAGTAAGAGATTTCACTTGAAGCACATCCAAGCAAATGCCTCAACTCCAGTTCCTGTGGCTCTTGAACTCAGACAAGCACACACAGAGCAACGTGTCTCCATGTTCCTGTGTGTGCCCTGTGCTTCCACCAACTGGGTCATTAGAAGATGACTGGCAGAAAAGGAAGAGTGAGAGCCCTTTCTGTATTTCTACCAACCTTACCAGGGTGTTAAGGAAACACCAAATTTTGTTCTTTGCCAATTGAAATAGAGTCACTTGTGTTGGTGACAAGGGGGAAAAAAAAGTAAAATTGAATGCTAAAAGTCACAGGAAATGTGAAGACACCAGAAACTGAGCAAATTGTGAAAAGTTGTAGTTAAGGTTTTTAATGTGACCAATACAAAATGATCCAGGTTAGCTTTGGAAAAAGGTTTTGTTTTTCTTTTCACACCACTCATGAGATGGCGTAAACCACCAAGATCCACTCACGTCAGTAATATATTTTGATGGGCAGCTTTCCTTCCCCTTTGCCATCAAAACCCACACATAGAAACTGGTACATTTTCATAAGCCACAAAAGAGCAGACAAATTTGGACGTGCACCTGCAAACAATGTCTCCGGGTTATAGACTTTTCAATACATCGAGCTATTATACGATCCTGGAGGAAGCCTCAGTGCCACCTGACAAAGAAATGCTGGCTTCTAAATAACATTCTAAATTTGCAGCACCAGACAGAGGTGGGGCACGCAGCAGCCCCCTTCTCCTAACACACACTGCATCCTCTTACAGCATCTCGTGTTAACCTAATTCTGAAGTGCTAGTGACTCAAGTCCCCAGTAAAGAAAGCCCAACTTGAGGAAATTCACTTAACATGATTTGGTGGGAGGGTGGCAAAGTGGTGGATTATATCCAGGTTATTCTGGTTGCCCCTACCCTCCTCTCCCATCCCTCATTTTACCCTAAAACAAATTGCCCCTCCCCCTTTTTGTCTCACTTGAATTTTAACGGTTTTAAATTTCTCCTGATGCATTTTGGTTTCTCTTAACCTGGCACTCTTCATGTGTTCCGATGATAAAGAGTGGAGGACTGTCACGTTCATTGCAGGGTATTTAGCCACATCCCTAGCCTCTACCCACTAGGTTCCAGTAGTATCCACCCCCGAGTCACGACAGTCTAGAATCTCTCCAAATAGTGCCAGTTGCATCCTACTCTACCCCCACGCCCTAGGAACCACTACACCAGATAGAGATCAACTGGTGGCTGGCTGGGGGCTGAGGGTGGGGCTTCCCAGGGAGCTGGTGTAGTGAAGTATTGAAGGAACTGGTTACCCATTGGTGGTGTGGTGAAAAGTGAAATGAAAAGAACACCACCTCTTTTCACTAAAGACAGCTGTGGGTAGCTAGGAGCTGCTAGGGTGGCGTTAATACAGAAGAGGAATCTTGTATTGCACAGTCAGAAACCCCGGGGCACATGGGAAGTCCCATCACAAAAAATAATAAAACCAAGTATACCTCATCATCAACTCTTGTGGACTTTGACACATGGTGAGTTTATCCCAATACCTGCATGATATAATATCATTCAAACCCTGTAAAGACTGGGTGAGCTACACTCCTGGGTTCTTAAGAAGGTCTCTGGAATGAGTACCAGCTTCAGGGCTCCAGACCTTAATACTTGCCAAATTTCTTGCGGTGGCTGCTCAGGAAGGTGGGAAGAGCAGGGGAGAGGCACACTCTGTCCCTGAGGCTCCTAAATGTGATGTGAGAAACACAAGTGCCAGACTGCTTACTAAGTCTCCTGGTGAAAGGATGGCTCATTGGCCCTGCAGGAGCACCAAGGGGTCAAGCCCAAGAAAGACAGGTGACTTGAGCAGCTTGAAGTCTGCATACCTCGACAAATGGTGTAGACTAGGTTTTTTTCAGGATGAGAAATTTGGCGATACTGATTTCTAAAGCAGAGACATGAAATGAGGCTCACAAGAACAGTTTCTAGAGGGACCAGAAACTTTGAATACTCTTTGGAGTTTGGTAGTGATTCCTGTGCATCTTAAATGACACTATATAATTTCACTAATAATTACTTAGTTTCAGGCTAGATCCTTTATGCAACGGCCCATTTTTGGCAGCATTTACTCACATGCCATCCTTCACTTTGACTGTATCTTTAGTTCTGAACATAAAATCTTCACACTTTGCACTGTGTATGCCCAGGCCATCAGGCCACACACACCTCAGTTCATGTTCTGCACCATTATGTGGTATGAATTGTAGTGGTTTTATATACATACAAAGTTTCCTGCTCTATAGAAACATTATGACCGACTGACTTATGGAAGACTTTGACATGAAATTTCCTATCATCCCTCCTCAGCATGTGTATCTTTAGGATATTTGTATACATTTACACACACACACACACACACACACACACACACACACACATATATATATATATATATATATACACACACACACACATATTAGCATGTCTTTGGGTTAGATTGTATAAAAATGTTTGATTGTGAAAACTGTTGTTTGAGTTTGTGATTTGAGTTTCTTTTCTTTTCTTTTCTTTTCTTTTTTTCTTTTTTTTTTCTTTTTTGTCTTTTAAAGTTAAAGTTTGATTTGGGGTTAAAACAGAATTTCCAGAAAAGTTTTGGAATGGGCTTGATTTAATGCTGCAATTTTGTATCATGTATTTATGCAAAGCTGCATGCCCCTATTCACAATCTTTAAATAAAAATATTAATTACCTCTGAAAAGCACTGAAGGTGCTCTGTATATTACAGTATCAAATACTAAGCTCAGATTTAGTTCTGTATAAGCATAAACAAGGAAATCTCTCATTAGTATGCAAATTAACCTTCACCTTTAATCAGTGGTAAAATTATATGTGTTCTTAAGAATATCTTTAAAGTAAACTGCTTTATGATTTCAGTGAGTATTTGCTTTGTGTGCCTATTTTTCATATCTATATATTTCAGGTCATATAAAAATTTATTAGAAACAAAGAGATCATGAATAGGCAAAGTTTTTGTTTTGTCTTAATTGACTGGGGTATGGGGGGAGTTATGGAGCCCTGCTTTTTCTTTTCTTTTTTTCACACAATCATCTTTCAGGGCTAGTGCTCACCTCCTGTAGAACCCTCTTAATGTGACTCTGGTATTTCTCCTGGATACTGGCCAACCCAGCCACACACTGAGTTACATAACTTCTTTATATTATCTCGCTCCTTATATCTCCTTTGCAGCATAACCCTCAGTGCCATAACTGAAGACAGTAAAAAAAAAAAAAGTATAATGTCAGCCCACCTTTTAAGCACAACGCTTCCCAAATAACTCTCATGTTCCTTTCGATTGCTAAATGCCTCTCTTTTATGGATGTCCTCAGTCTTTCTTGCTCTTGGTGCCCCTGCTTTCTATTGGACCTCATTTCCTCCCCATCCCAAGGACTGGACTACATACATATGACGTGTGCAGAAAAGTGCATTGGATTGATGTTTGGCCTTTACTGGATGGCTTGGCTTCCTTCCTTTCTAGCTGATGGATTTATCGGAGAATTCGTTCTTCTCTTTGTTCTGAGCTGGTTGGATGCTCACAGGTTAGATAATAACAGCATCAGGAGAAGCTTTCTGGAACTGTTCACATTATTCTATGGGTGATCTTGAAATGGATTGTTAAAATGCCAGAGTATCTTGATGTTTAGTTGAGCATTCTGTTAAGGCTGAATTTTATGTAGCATTTATCAGTTCAGATTTGAGAAAAAAAAATGGTAATTTTTGTTTCTCATCTTCCTGTTGTGGTACAAGGAAACATTGACTCTGTGTGTGTGTGTGTGTGTGTGTGTGTGTGTGTGTGCATACGTGTATATGTATATACACATGCATACACATATATATATATGTGTCAGACCCTTCTCAGTCAGGGCAGAACCATTCCCAAAAACTGAATAAAATTATTTCTCACACAGCCAAGTATAACTGTCTGCTTTCTTCGAGGCCTCTTTCTTGACTCTCCAAGGGCTGCCTTCATATAGCCTTTCCTTTGTTCATGGATTCCTGGTGTCTCTGTGACTTTGTCTTTTCTCATAATGATGCTAGTTAGGTCTGTCTTAGGGTCCACTCAACCTTGTTTAATCTTATCACCTGTTTCAGGACCCATCTCCAAACAGTGATGGAGCACTGGGCCTTTGAGTTTCAACACAAGCACTGAGGAGGGTACTAACTTATAACAGTGGCATTATTTTTCCTTGCCCTAAGGAAGGTGGTACTAGCATAATAGCTAAAGGCCAGGCATGCTGAATGCTTACAGTGAGTGAGACAGAACTACACAAAGAAAAGCTGTCTGTCCAAAAGTCAGGAGCCAGCCCTGTGAAAAACAGTCATCACTGTGCCATGGCTTGTTTCCCCCCACATTATTTCCTTCCCTGGGTCTTATTTAAGTCCCATCTTTGGAAAATTGGCCCAGCAGAAGCATGAATACTGAAATATTTCTGAAATTATTTCTCTCCTAGATGCCGCCTCAGTGGACTTGGAAATGATTGATGTACAAGTTTTAGCAGATGCTTTCAAACGCTATCTCTTGGACTTACCAAATCCCGTCATTCCAGGAGCTGTTTACAATGAAATGTCTTTAGCCCAAGGTTGGTTTTCTCTTTCCAGATCTCTCTGAACAGATAACTGAGATGTAGACATGCTTGCCACTCTATGATGTGCTGTGTAAAGCAGAAGGCATTGATAAAATTCTGAGCTGCCCTCCAGTGCCTCGCCACCACCCCAGGTTCCTCCTGGACCACATAGCATCTGAGCATCTGGTAGAGGAGACTCAGATCCTCATTTGTTTAGAAACCTGCCCCTGTGTTACACTAATTAACTTCTGATCACTATCTGCAAAGATCACTGCAGTTGTGAAGGTCTTGATTATCCAAGTCCTAGCCTTAGATTCAAAGACCCAGAACAAGAAAGCATGGCAAGGAATATTCTTGCCCTCTTCCCTGAACACCCAGAACAAAATGTATCGAGGGTGGAGCCCTCAGCATCAGGAGCCCAGGCTCCTTTCAGAACTTTGGGGACAGGAAATTGTGGTTCGTGACCTTCAAAGTTTAACCTGTGATACTTATCTGATGCTCTGAGGAAGTAGCCAATCAAGCTCAGTGCTGCTTGATGGAGGCCAGGCTTCTGAGAGCACACCCTGAACATTTTGTGGTTTTCTTTTTTTTTTTTTTTCTTTCTTTTTTTTTTACAAGAAGAGTTTCTTGTATTTCATTTGACTGGAGATCTTTACTTTCTCACAATGCATTTCTTAATAAGAAGGACAAATGTCTTCTTAGGTACCAATCTGGAAGATTTCTCTATGGGCCTCCTTTGGTAGCTAAAGCAGTGAGAAGAAATGGTTCAAGCATTGGTTCGTTGGCACCCTACATAGCCTTACTCTGTTTCCTGTATTTTTTTTTTCTGTAACTTGTAGAAGTACAAAGCCCTGAAGACTATATCCAGCTATTGAAGAAGCTCATTAGGTCACCTAATATACCTCATCAGTATTGGCTTACGCTTCAGTATTTGCTTAAACATTTCTTCAAGCTCTCTCAAGCCTCCAGCAAAAATCTTTTGAATTCAAGAGTACTTTCTGAGATTTTCAGCCCTGTGCTTTTTAGATTCCCAGCAGCCAGGTAGGTGAAAGATGAGAAGAAGCATCTTGGGGGTATAGTGGGGGTTGGGGAGTGTCGGGTGGCCCTAATGGTTATTGGAGGGTATCTAAAGATACTGGGTCACAGATGCACACTGCTTTTTACACAATGAACTTGCTTTATATACATCAGTAGGATGGTGAATGGAGATAGTATTGTCTTCAGAAATGATGGTTCTCACAAAACCCTCTTTGTTGCAGCTCTGATAATACTGAACACCTCATAAAAGTGATAGAGATTTTAATCTCAACTGAATGGAATGAGCGACAGCCAGCACCAGGTAAGTAAGGCTTTGCAACAGCTGATGCTCACTCAGCTGTTGGGCCTTTGCTTTGTACTTCTACAAGTTTAAAAAAAATACAAGTCTCCTCTGAATCAATGCAAGTTTAGGGCACAATTGTAACCCATAGTAATATGTTAATTTATGGTTCACAGAAAAATAACAGTGGTGGTCTATGTGGTACAGCCAGGTGTCAGCTCTTGCAGAATTTGAACTATCTTGGTTTTAGCCTTATTTTTTTTAAACGTTTTTTACTAGCTCAACATAAGGTGTTACCATGTAGTCCAGGCTGGCCTTGAACTCACTTTGTAGCAGAGGTTGGACTGGACCTCATGTCTCCTTCCTGTGTCTACATTTTTGTTTTAGATGAGCATTGGGAGAGCTCCCTAGGCCAGACACCTCTTAGGCTACTGAATAAATTTATGGAGTTTGTTTTAGCTGTTGACATTTTTTTTTTTTTGGTTTTTCTAATACTTAAAAAGTGGGGTGATTTATAATTACTATATAAATTAAAGTATTCTGGAGTGTGTATTTTGGAAGTGACTATGCCGAGAAATGTCTGTCAAAACAAACACTTTCAATAACACGGGCAATGTGAAATAGTGTTTACTGCAGCTAGAGCAAGCCATGTGCCTCTTTGGAAGCAGGTGGTCTTCTAGCCATTTAACAGGGTAGGGAGTGTAGGCTCACCTAGAATGGCAGCTTTTCATCTAGAGAGCCTAAAGTATCTGTGATCTAGTAGCAGTTAGCTCACAGGGCTTGTCAGTTAGATTACCAATCAGCCCTTAGTAGGTGAAGTGTAGTTGCAGGGCCAGGAGGAAGTTGTGCTTGCATTCTTCATTTCTGCCCAGGCTTTTAAACCGAAGCACCCTGCTTCTACTATCTGTAATGGGTAACTCACGAGGACTGGGACAGAGCAACAGGTTGTGCTTTTCTGTCTTCAGTGCATGGCCAGTTGTGCTTCTTTGCATCTGGATGCAGCAGACTGAGAGAGTCAAGGGCTTGGGCTCAAACCCCATCCTGAAGTGATTGGATGAATATAGCTGAGCGCTTAAGATGCACAACTTAGGAAGAGCTTCTGTGGGACTGGCCCCAAAATGCTGTACCTAGGGTGAGAGTGATCATAGAGGAGGCAAGCATGGCATATTCCAGAGGTTCCAAAGCACAACAAATAGGATTTAACAGGGATGCCTGGAGCAAAACCAGAGTGCACTGGGGAAGCTATCTGTAAGTGTAGCCTAGGGGGTTTTGCCCCACATGATGCTGGATAATGGATTCAGGAGCTGCCTTTGGCCCTAACAGGGAGGAATGAGAGTGGGACTTGGAAGTTGCTGTGCGCCATAGAGACTGTCTACTCTGAGACTAACCACACAGGCTAGGAAGGAAGAGGTACACCAAGAATAGGCAGGCTGCAGCCGAGGCACTGAGCTGCAACTGTTCATTTCCTCCTGACTGGCATAGAGATGCACCCGGAGAGGAGGTGCAGCTGAGCTTTGTTTGCCCTGAAGGGCTTGGGGTAGGGATGAGGGGAGCTGAGAAGTTAGTCATCCTGGGCTTCTCAGTAATACTCCCTGCCCTCATCAGGCAGGTGACATAGAAGCTCAAAGCCAGATGGGACTTTTACAAATGAATTGATCACTAAGGGCTTGCTTATTTGTCTGGTTGGAAGAAGGTTGTGACCTCTGGAGTTTAATATAAATGGATTAAGTGTCTTTTATAAGACTAACTTATAATAAGCATGTATCTTCATTAATCACTCTTATAATGTGGCCTGATACACAGAAGAGTACTACAGTCTCCCCGCTACCCCTACCACCCCCAGAAATTAGTATACTAATTTCAAAGGAGGATTAGTTCCATCAGTTCAGCTTCTGAGGATGACAAAGATCAGACATACTGGATTGTCCCAGTATTTGTGCAGACTCAGAAAAAAAAAGAAAGAAAGAGAATTAAACCCAAGTCATTCTTGAGCCCTATCTGAGCCACTTTCACTTCATGTGGTACTTCTCAACCACCCTGAGCATTGTCTAGAACCCTTGGGATTAAATGGATGCTTCAGAGTGTCTCACTTCACTCTCCACCTACAAGAGGGTAGGGAAGGTGCCTTCATCCTGGACACCTTTGGGCTCCAGCGCAGTGACTGGCAGAGCATCCCAGGAAAAAGAAATGACCTCTTCAACCCAGTGGGAATCCACTGCCTTCACAGAGGCCTACCCCACTGGCCCAGAATGCAAGAGGCTCCAAGGTCTTTGGAAGCTCACCTCCAGTCCACCTCATAAATCAGTCAAGTATAGATACTCTGAACAGAGAGGAGTCTTTCAAGGGTCCTTAAATGGGGACTACAAGGAAGTGTTTGTTGTGGGGCAGGTAGACATCCTCTCTGGGTTTTACCAGGTAGTAGTTAGAATGATAAGGCTGATGCCTAAGGCAAAATGTCAGCTTAAATAAGGCCTGTTGAAAACACAGCAGTCTAAAGTGTAGCTGGGAGTGCACTTCTAAGACAGAGCTTCAGAGGTGCAGCTGATGACTTTTTAGAGTAATTGAGTAGATACTTTAAAGTAGATAAGTTAAAGAAAGACTATACCCTGAAAGGGGCCTTGAAACACAGGTCCAATTTTAACTGGAGAAAAGGAAAATAGCATTTTGATTTGCAGATGGACAACAAACCAGCTAACCAAAGTTGTTGCAGGCTGTGCTCTTTAGGTTGTATACACTCACTCTAGGACATTAGTACACTGTGATCTCTTAGAATGTGTTTCTCCAACCTGGCCCATCAGGCATTGACACAAGGCTACACTTTTAAGTGACAGGGTTATAAGACACTACTGGGACCCCAAAGAAACAGAGAGGAGAGGCTCACTCTATGCTACCCAATCAGTGTGTGCCACAGCTGGATATGCCCAGGAGCTACCTTTGGGTCCAGCCTGTCCTGTCTGCCATCTTTGTATGCCTAAGTTGTTGGAACCATCGGGAACCACAGGGCTGTTTTCAGTGTCCAGTCAAAAAGCCTTCTGAAGTTTCCAGAATGTAATAAACTAACAATGAGGGAAATAAGATCCTATGGACAACATAGGACAAAGGGCCATAGTGCAATATGGGTAGCTCTGGAGACAAGGTTCCATCAGATGTACAGTGGAAAGAAGAATGGGTTGCTTTCCCAGGGTTGTTAGGATTAAATAAGCTGACATAAATAAGCTGTGTGGCTTGGTGGGTGTAGTGGCTAGGATGTCAGTGCCACTCCCCCTGACACCTAGCCAACGTGTCTTTGCACAGTACACAAAATGTATAACTGTCCACAGTGTCCCCTGTGTCATCCACTTCATCTGTGTCCCAGCAGATCCCAGTGTGCTTTCTGTGCAGGTTAAAATGGCCCATTCACTGTGTGTGTGTGTAGTCTTCAGCCCTTGTTCTCTATTCTTTAACTGTCCTGTGGGTTTTTTTTTTTGTTTGTTTCAAAACTGTTAGTTTACTTGGTTTGGCTACATTTCTAAAAGGTAAAGACCAAAGCTATTTCTTATTTTGATCCATTCCAGTTACAGATCTAATAATACTCCCAAAACACACATAACTGATAAAAAAACTGTGGTTTTCTTTTTTTAATTTAATTTTTAAAATTTAAATTAGAGACAAGATTGTTTTACATGTTACTCCCAGCTCCCTCCCTCCCCTCCACTAACACCCTACCTATCCAATACCATTTCTGCTCCCCAGGCAGAGTGAAGCCTTCCATTGGGGGGGAGGCTTCAGAGTTTGTCATATCCCCCCCCCCCCCATGTGTCTAGGCTGAGGGCATATCCCTCTATGTGAAATGGGATCCCAAAGTCCATTCCTATGATAGGGATAAGTGCAAGAGGCCCCATATATTTCCAAGGCCTCCTCACTGACACTCACTTTTATGGGGTCTGAATCAGTTCCATGCTGGTTTCCCAGTGATCAGTCCGGAGGCCAAGAGCTCTCTCTTGTTCAGGTCAGCTGTTTCTGTGGGTTTCACCAGCATGGTCTTGACTGCTTTGCTCATCACTCCTCCTCCTCTGCAACTGGTTCCAGTTCAGTTTTTAGTTGTGGTTATCTGCTTTTACTTCCATCAGCTGCTGGATGAAGGCTCTAGGATGGTATATAAGTTAGTAGTCAATCTCGTTATCGGGGAGGGCATTTAAGGTAGCCTCTCCTCTGTTGCTTAGTTAGTTGGTGTCATCATGTAGATCACTGGACATTTCCCTAGTGCCTGATTTCTCTTTAAACTTATACTGGCTCCCTCTCTGATGGTATCTCTTATTTTGCTCCCCTCTATTCTTCCTCCTACACAACCTTCCTGCTCCCTATGTCCTCTCCCCCTCCTCTCCTCCCCTTCTCATTCTCCTAGCTCCCTCTCCCCTCCCCCCATGCTCCCAATTTGCTCAGGAGATCTTGTCCCTTTCCCCTTCTCCGGGGGACCATATATGTCTCTTTTAACTGTGGTTTTCAAAGAAATTTTAGAAATCAGCTCACTTTGTGCATCCAGCAGGCCTTTGAGGCCTTTGCAAATTCCTTGCTTTTCTGGAAGGAGGCACAGATGTGGACAGGTGATTCGGACAGTATGTTTTCTGAGCTCTGTTGTTAGTGTACCATTCCCTCTGTTACAAGAAGTCCTCCATGTCTTTAAAGCTGAGTTTCAGGCTTTCTGGAACTCCTCACACTACTCAGAAATGGGGAGCTTACATGATCTCAATGGGGCAACCACAGTAGGAACAGGTCCAGTGAACACAGGGTACCTCTGAATACCACCCATGTTTTGGATTTCATGGATGTATTCAGAAACACTAATGTAGCATAATTGGAGTCTAACATTGCACCCTCAAGCCTGGAGGAGGCAACAAGTGACTCTTTCTCCTCCCGTCCTCCTACACCTGTCAAGGTTAATTTTTAACCATGGGTGCATTGCAAAACATCCCTCCTGAAGAGCTTAATTCATGCATCTTGTTTTAAATGCTCTGGACTGGGTTTTAGCTAAGATGTAAGCA